CAACCAGGCACATCTTAACACCTCTCAACAAAAGGTTTTCCCAGGCTCAGGCAGGCCTTCAAATGCTAATGGTGATCAGCTGAAACATTCACACCTAGCTCCAGCAGAGAAGAGCTCTTTGCCCCACCCCAGCCATTCCATAGATATATAAACCCATTGTCCTAATTCCAACAGACCTCACTACTTCTGAGGGTGCTTGCCATAGATGCAGGCGAAATGTCAGGAGAAATGCCTCTAGAACATGGCCCTATAGCCCGAAAAAACCCACAAGAACCTATTCGTGTAGAGTTTGGTCCAGATCCATCATTGTTTGAGTCCATAGTGATCTCTGGATGGAGGTGAACTACAACTCCAAAACCAAAGGACACTGCTCACCAAACCCTTCCAGTATTTTCTGTTGGTCATGGGAGAATTGTGTGCTAAGTTTGGTTCAATTCCATTGTTGGTGGGGTTCAGAATGCTCTTTGTAGGTTAACTATAAATCCTAGCAACTACAACTCCCAAATGACAAAATCAGTTTTTTTGAGTGATGGTCACTCCTTGTGTTGTGCGACGTTTTGTTGTCAAATTTGGTGTGATTTCGTTCATTGGTTTTTGAGTTCTGTTAATCCCACAAACAAACATTACATCTTTATTTATATAGATTTTATATTATATTTATAATACTACATTACAATATGCAGATATAGATTTAAATGTAATACAAAATATATACTATTGTATGTTATGCGTATTATATTAGATTGTAATATATATAATATAACATATGCATAATATTCCATATATAATACTGTATATTATATATGTATTATATTACATTACAATATTCAGATATATATTATTATGTAATATATATCTACATCCAGAGAGCACTGTGGACTCAAACAATGATGGATCTGGACCAAACTTAGCACAAGCACTCAATACACCCAAATATGAATACAGATGGAGTTTGGGGGAAATAGATCTTGACATTTGGGAGTTGTAGTCACTGGGATTCACAGTTCACCTACAATCAAAGAGCGTTCTGAACCCCACGAACGACAGAATCGGGGCAAACTTCCCACACTGAACCCCCATGACCAACAGAAAATACCTAAGGCCACGCAATCCAACTCCCTCCATCAGGGTAAGAAAATGTAATCAAAGCCCTCCTGACAAAGAGCCATCCAGCCATAAATATAGATACATAGATATGATTCATACACACACAGATATAGTATCCTAGATTTGAAAGGGACCCCTAAAGCATCATAATGATAGGTTGCATGTTCCAGAGTAGGCAAACCAGACAATCTCCACATCAACACTGACAAAGAAACAGAAAGAAATACTGTTTACTCACAAGCATAAAGAAATTACATATATTAGAAGCCAACACTTTCTCATTATTTTATTTTCCAGATCAACAGACTGAGCCACAGCAACGCGTGGCAGGGGATATATATATATATAATGTAATACACAATAATATAGATAATACATGCATAATATTGTGTGTGTGTGTGTGTGTGTGTGTGTATATATATATATATATATATATATATATATATAGTATATTACATTACAATACACACACACATATATATAATGGAATGTAATATATTGTATATATATATATTATAATAGATATATTTTATAATATATACGTGTGTTATATTATTTAAAGACTAGGAGAGAGTCTTTAAGGTGCTACCAAATTATGTAGGTCCAGGTAGAAAGTGGTTCCCTCCTTCCATGAGAAGGCACTTTTCATACTCTCAGGTGCCACCTCCCCTGTTGGATCCTTTTAGTGTCCTCTCTGGTGCATCTTGTACATTGTTGCTCAAAGGTTGGGCGGCACCGTTTCATTAAGAGCTTGCAAAGAAATTCTGCTCTTCACCAGTTTTTGGGAGTTCTAGTGTCCGACTGGCTGCTCCAAAACACCTGTTAGTCTCATTGCATTATTATCTCCTTTTTCCTTTTTTCATCTTCCCAAAAGCCATGCATATTAATGCGCAAGATATTCCTCCCCCTTCTCCAACACTTTGGCCCTTCCAGAAGACCTCTGAGCATGTGCAAAGTGCCCCTTTCCTGGAGTTGAGCCTGCTAGGTAAAAAGCAAACCAAATGAAAAGATACAGGGTGCGTATCTACAGAGTTGAAGGAATGCCACTTGACACTGCTTTAGCTGCTGTGGAATCTTGGGATTTGTAGTTTAGTGAGGCCTCTAAACTACAGACCTTGCCAAACTACAATTCCCAGGATTTTGTAATCTGTGTGAGACCGACCCTTCCATTGGATCGAAAGAAACAGGACTACTCTGAAATTGTTGCCGCTGCCCAAGACTCCATTTTCACATTATTATTATTATTATTATTATTAGTAGTAGTAGTAGTAGTACTATTATTATTATTTTCCAGATTCAGACTGTATTGCTGTCACAGCTGCTGGTTCTAATGCGAAGACACTGGAAGATGGGTGAGTTGAGACTGGAAGGTATAATCCCAGCATGAAAATAAATGACTTTTTTTGGCTTACAGCTCCCAGAATCCCCTAATCATGATGCTGCCTGGGGGATTGTGGGAGTGGCATCATCTCCTTCTTGAATGGTTTTGCCCAGAACTGGACACAGTCTTATTCCAAATGAGGTCTGACCAAAGCAGAAGAGAGTGGGACCTTGCTTTGTGTTGATCTGGACACTAGACTCATATTCATGCAGCCCAGAATCACATTGGCTTTTTGAGCTGCAGTATCACACACTTGGTTCACATTCAGCTTGCAGTCTTCTAAGACGCCAAGATCATTTTTGTACAGACAGATGTCAAGCCAAATATTGAAAGTGCAATGACCCAGGACTGTTTATGGACAATGACTATGTCTTTGTGTGATATGTGATGTTATTTTATGTGATGTGTTTAATAATGTTTAATGTTTTATTAGGGGAGGGTCAATTTTAATGTTTTATACTGTTTTTATTGAGGGCATTGGATTGTTGCCAACACTGTGAACTGCCCTGAGTCCCCTTTGGGGTTGAGAAGGGCAGTATACAAATATTGCAAATATTACCCATGAGATGCTAAGCTTTGCAGTAGAAGAGACAGAGTCTTCTCAGTAGTTACTCCCAAGGCTGTGGAACTCCTTTCTCAAAGAAATAAGGCCTGGTATACATACACTTTTCTAAGCTACATACAAATGACACAAACCAAAGCCTATCACTGTGTTTTTTTTTATTCTAAGTCACCATCAGTTTGTAGACCACTAACAGAAAAGCTTTATTTATACTTAAGTAGTGGTAATTCTAAGATTCAGCCCATTTTTAGAGATATTTATATGGGTGGGTGGGAAATGTGCATCTTAGAATCAAAGATACACAATTCTATATGACTTTGGGTGCCCTGAAGCAGGGCTTTTTCGTGGGTCCCAACCCCAAATAGGGTTCCCTGAGCTTAATGTTGGGGTCCCAAAAATATTTTCTGAATGCCACCTAGTGGCTGTTTAAGACATTTACACAAATCTGTTCCCCAGTGTTTACAGCAGACTCTGCAGAAGATGCTTTAGCCGTACTTCATATACAAGAAAACTCAGCCTGTTAAGCCAGCCTTGCCGATTGTGATTTGTGCAGTCAGTGTTTTATCGTAGAGTTCCATACAGATTTCACAGGTTGAAAGGGGTCTTTGGTGGAAACGTTTAAGAATATTTGGACTAAGGAATGCGACACAGAAGTGTGTGACGAATACAACATCTATGTTTTATTTATGGCTACTATGCGGCTTTAGATTTAGATTTTCGGGAACACCGTCTTGCTGCCTTCCCCTCCGAGGGTAGACCTGCGGGATGACATTCTCCGCACGCGTTCGGCGGATGATGGACCAGCCGGTTCCACCTCGGGAAAGAGAGCCTGGGAGCCTCGGGTGCTGCCTGGGGCCACACTGAATTTTCGGGAGCCTGACTTCTTGGGAGAGACAGCGAAGGAGGAGCCCTCGGACTCCTCGGGGGCACTGGAGATTTTGAAGGAGCCATCCTCGGAGGCCGCAGACCTCACTGGGCTATCTTTCGGGGTGGAGGATCTCAGAACGGAGAATGGGGGCTGGTTGAGGGAGTCCTCGTCAGCCTCGTCAGCAGAGAAGTCAGTTTCGCCTTCTCCCAGAAAGTGTGGGGGCACAATCTCAAAAATCTCTGGGCCTCCTTCGTCTTCATATTCTTCCTCAGTTGCACTTTCTTCCAGTTCGATATCCCAGCTGCTCAGTTCTTGCTCGGTGGGCGTCCCCATCACCACGACTTTCCCGCCGGCCATTTCAGGTTGGAAAAAGACGGCCTTCTTGGCTCCCGGCGTCTTCACGGCAGCCTTGCCTTTGCCCTTGCCTTTCACAGCCCGGCCTTTCTTCACATCACCCAGCTTGTGCCGGGGCATCTTGGGTTTGGGTGGGCGTGGGGCGTAGATCTCGTCATAGACTTTGGCCCAGTCGATCTGGGAGGATAGGCGGATCCCACTGCCCTTCATCCTCTTGTAGCCAAACATTATTTCCAGCAGCACTTTGGTCACGGGCACCGAGATGAGGCCCAGTTTGGAGCAGAGGAGGGTTTCATAGTTGTATTTATACAGGACCAGCTTGGCTGCATTTTCAATCAGGAAATTGATGACAGATTGCTTGGGAATGGGGCGGGCCTGGAGGCGGGCCCGTTTGACATCTTTGGGGGTAATGATGTGCTTAGTTGAAAGAACCTGTAAACAACAGGAAAAAACAAACAGAGGATAATGAGTTTTAGAAGATTTACCCAGTAGTATATTATTGGTTCCCTATAATACAATGGTTCTCAACCTGTGGGTCCCCAGGTGTTTTGGCCTACAACTCCCAGAAATCCCAGCAAATTTACAAGCTGTTAGGATTTCTGGGAGTTGAAGGCCAAAACATCTGGGGACCCACAGGCTGAGAACCACTGCTATAATAGATTCCCCATTTGAAAACAAACTAAAAGCACACATCAACAACATGTTACTCAACAAGACCACTTGCCAGTTCTCCTCGGGATGGCTGGACTTTGAGGTCACATTTGGAGGGCATCCTATGGGTGCCACTGCAAACTAGGACAATGGCCATAAGAATGGTGGATATTCCTGGTGGTGGCCCCTCACTTGTGTAAGGCTGTGCCCAAAAAGGATCACAGAATCCACCTAGTAAGCAACCAGATGGATTCTGTGATCTTATTAGAAGGTATTGTTAGAGGGTGGTTTTCAAATAAGTTTTGCTTTTAAGCTTTCTCTTGTGGGTCAAGTCAACGCCATACCTGTTTGGCTGGTTCAGTTTCCATCTGGACCGATTCTTTCTTCTTCAGCTTCGGCTTGGAAAGCGGAGGAGGCACATATTTTGGCTTCGGTGGGGGTGTCCCCGAGGGAGGCCTTGGCTTTGTTTTCGGGAGCGGAGGAGGCACGTATTTTCCCTTGCGTTGAGATTCTTCCGGTATGGACTTGCGCCTGGATTTTGGAAGTGGTGGCGGGGCGTATTTGGATTTGCCCTTCTCTTCCACCGGTGATGTTTCCGCCTTCTTCTTCTTCTTCTTTTTCCCCTTTTTCTTCCTCTTCTTCTTCCCATCACCTGACTTGCTGCCATCCGAAAAATCATCTGATGTATCTTCTCCACTCCCAGAACCTCCTGAGCCACTCCTTTCCTCTTCCTCCTCCTCATCCTCTTCAGTACCTCCAATGGAAGAGTCCCAGAATGTCACAGGGTGGCCTTCGTCATCGAAAAGGTTCACCAGAGGGACTCCATCCGTCCCTGTTGCCTGCAGGACCTTCTGGACAGCTTGGTTGATAATGTCTTGAAGGGCTGAGAGGATTTTGTGTTCTTCCAAGAAATCCAGAGCTAGGAAAGGTTGGTGGTCTGGGGAATACCTTGGAATGCCACTCCCCATTGGGCGTTTCAAAACATTGGTGATTTCCTTTTGGAGGGATTCGACTGATGCAGACTCCTGTGGCTCTTTCTTAAATTTGGAAAAATAATCCTTTTTGGGCGGTTGGAACTTCTCAAAAGACTCGGCCAGTTTGGCCCAAATGTGGAGGTGCTCTTGCCGGTAAAAATAATCGTCCCCTGATCGCTCTGAAAATGTCTGCAAGTGAGCAACGGAGAAAGTAAGAGAAAGGAGAAAAGGGTATTATAGCTGCATCGGAACAAGTAGCAAAGGGAGGAGTAAGGGTAGAATTGATACCATTCCACTTTTGGGAGATAGACAATCAGAATATGTTAAAGAGGGACCCAAGAAGGTGCTCTATACCAAGTTGGGCTGTTGGTGCATCTAGTTCTATATGGTCTACACCATGTGGAGGCAATGTGTGGCCCTCCGTGCATTGTTCAAAAGTTCCTTTTCCCATTCCTTGCCATGGTGGCAAGGTCTGATCTGATTTACATCCCAATATCATCTACAAATTGACCACTTCTTCTCTACCTTTAATGTTGGTGGTGGTGGTGGGGGGGGGGGCAATGCATCTCTCTGGAGTTTTGGGCAAAGGTCCTTCCCAGCTCTACCTGAAAATTCCAGGAATCCAATGGGCATGTGAATGTTGTGCTCTCCTATTGAACTACTTGAAGGCACAGCTGTCTTGATCAGGATTTGAACCCATGACTTTTGTCACCCTGACAATCTTACCCCGCCCTTCCCCATACTGGAATCCTTGGGTGATTTCCACTTTTAAACATGGAAACCGTACTTTTCCATTTGATCTTCTGAACCAGTTCCAGCTTCCTTGCCCTTTTCCATTACCACTTCTCTCGTACTTGCGTAATCCTGTCTCTGAATAAGGGAGAGAACGTTTCTGCTGGAAGAATTGGGACCTTTAGAGCCAAGTCAACCGTCTACTTTGGGATGAATGGTATTGGGGCTCACATCCAAACAGGCTATATTTTTCACAATGCATTAGAGACAGCATTGTTGCCATCAAATAGATCCTCACAATTGCAAACAACTTTCCCAACTGCAGGTTCTGTTCTCCACTCTCTCTGACAGACAGAGACCTTTTTTTATCTTGGTAGGCCTTGGGCTCTTAACTGACAATTGCAAGGAAGAGGACATTTCGACCCCTTCATGCCAGCAAAGGAGTCCGCAGTATTTGCGACTGGACGTCCTACTTCTAATCGTCGCTACCTCAATTGTTGGTGGGAAAGAGCTGGAAATGTCATCCTCATTGAACCTTAGCACCAGAACAGTCTTTCTTTCCAGTTTGGCTGCTGGTTCTTAAGTTGGGCTAGGAGGGCATTTGTGTAGCCTTTCCATTAAGAACAGGTTGTCTTCTTGAATATGGAGCAGTTACGAAACCATAGCTCTAGCTTACATAACTGTGATACTGAATGCCAGTCCATCTTTTTTTATTATTTTTAATTTGTGCTTTTACTGTACTTAGTTTTAACTTCTATTTTGAGCTGCCTTGGGTCCCATATTGGGAGAAAGGCAGGATATTAAATATGGTGATAGAAAATCACCCTTTGCCTAGAAACCAAAGGTCATGGTTTGAGTGCTAAGAATGCACTGAACTAAGAAAACGTTTCTTGCCATTTGAACTGGACTCGGCAACTAAGCGAGAACGGGGCATTGGCTGTGCCATTTGTGAGCTCACTAGAATGGCTTAAATGGTTTAATCATAGCCAGAAATATAACAAAAGCTATGGCACAGCAGCTGCATGGTGATCACAGAGAACCAGAGGGTTTCATCCGAAGAGCCATCTTAGTCCCAAAAGATTACCCGCCTGCTAATGAGTTTACGGCGAAAACCATATGCTAGCTGTGCCTAGATTGGTCAGGATGATGGCCCGCTCCCATTCCCCACCAGCTTTTCATAGTGGATACTACAGATTGGGATATTTGCAAAGAAATTTATTGCCATGCATGGGTTACATTAGATAGAGAAGGGCGGGTAAACTCAAGGCCGCTGTCCTTCAATAACGGCGTGGAAATACCTCTGCATGGAATCGGCCGGACACGTGATCCACCTTCTTGCTGTCCAGCTTGGGGAGTCGCGAGGCATACTTATCCAAGAGGCAGACCTTATCTTCAGCTTTGGGGGCTCTTGGCTGCTTGGCGGCAGCTGCAGCGAACCAATCTTCCTCGGAGCTGGAGGTGCTGTCGGTGGCCGTGCTGCTGGTGGGATACCTGGAGTGGGAGCGTGTGGAGCTGTAGGAAAATGACCATGCCTCACTTTCGGCGCTGGAGTGGGAGTCTTCCTGGACGTTGAAGAGGCGCTGCCCGTCCTCCAGGGTCACTTCTCTCAGCTTGCGGACGGCGTCCTCCATGATGCGCTGGAGGCTGTCCAGGACGTTCTCGTCGGCCAGGAAATCCACAAATTCGGAAAATTCATCGGCCAGGATACGGCTCTCTCCGGCGCTGCTGGTGCTGGGGCGGGACTTGTGTCTCCTGTGGTGTTCGGAGCAAAAAGACGGAGTGGTGGACCTCGAGGATGTCATCTCCGGATTCCAGAATGGGTGGGGAGAAGGCTGCCTCAGTGCATTTCTCCACTCCGAAACCTTTCTTTTAGGGCTGGGGTTCCTCATCTGCAAGCAAATCAAGGAATTGGCAAAGTCTGTCCCATTAGCTTTCTTGTTTTCTAATCTCTGCTACTAGGACCCTCCTGGCTCTCTCGGGTCTGACAAAATGGCCACTATGGCTAGTATGACAATGGAACCTATGACCTTAAAGGAGGCTTGGTCTTCAGACAGTGAGTGGACCAAATTATAAAAGGACTTTTTGCTCTAGTACAAGCATGGGCAAACTTCAGCCCTTCCTCTAAGTGTTTTGAACCTCAGCTCCTACAATTGTGGGAGCTGAAGTCCAAAACACCTGGAGGGCTGAAGTTTGACCATGCCTGCCCTAGTAGCATCCTAGACTTGTAGAAAAAATAAGCTAGTTCCTCCTAGGGTTGGGAGAAATTACTTTTGGGGCACTAAAACACTCAGAATGCTCTAGCCAGCATCGCCACTGGTTTGGGAATGCTGGGCATCAAATAGCTGCCTATGTTGTAAAGCCACCTTGAGTCACCTTCAGGTTTGAGAAAGGCGGGGTAGAAATAGCACAAATAAATAAATAAATATTGTCATCCCAAAAAAAAAAAGAAAGGAAAGAATTAACTTTCCCTAGCTCTCCTCTCTGTCCAAATGTTTGTGGTACCCATAGGTGCCTCTCCCAGCTATCTCTGATTTCAATATTTTAATTTATTTACATTTAGGGTTGGGGTTGAGTGGTCATACTTTTCAGTGTTTTCCACATGGTAGCTTTGGCGTCCAGCTCCCTGAATTCCCAGCTGCTGGCAAAGCCACCTGGGGCTCCTGGGAGTTGAAGTCCCAAATTGTGGACAGAGCAATATTTAGGCAACCCCTGCTTTCAAGTCAGACATTCTGAATTAACTTGTTCCAAACCCCATGTTCCTTGTCACAAATTAACATTGTAATCACTCAAATGTAATTAAATTAGATGGCACTGGTAACTTAAGGAGGGAGATGCATTCTGTGCTGTGACTAACGTTTAGTTACTTTTCTAACAATACCGCATAGTTCATGCATTGGCTCATCAAATTTTCAGGCAAGCAGGTAGATAGCGAAACTTTGAACCTATAGCCTTTAGCAAGTGAAAAGTTACTCTTTTGATGACAAAACTTTCCATCGGAGTTCCTTTCCGATGGGTCCCAGCTCCATCTGGCTTTGTATTTTCCAGAATGGTAAGTCACTGTGATTTGAATTGAGGAAAGGTGGGGCATAAATAAATATCAATAAGGTCAGTGCTCCACATTCTTTGGGATTAGGGACAGCAAAATTTGTAAGAAAAGTCTGCCAGGTATCCAAAGCATGGGCACTGAAATGTGAAAGTGGAGGGCTGACTGTATATTAGTGAGGCTGTCATTGGAAAGGACCTCCTGTGCAATGCGGAAGGGAACGTGCCACTACCAGAAGCTGCTTCTCTTTCCATTTGTGCTTCCACTCAGTCCCTCTTGAGCTGGGTGGTGTTCCCTTACCTGAGGTCCCCACATGCTTTCATCGTCGGCCAGGTAGCCAGAGTATCTGCGGCTCGACATGGTGCTGAACGGACAGCGCCAAGACACTCCTGCCGTCAGGCACCTTGAGTCCTCCTATCTCTGGACACACAGAAAACAGGTGTAATTTTCAAAGAAGGCTTTGCAAGGCTTCTGGGTGCTTGGGGGCACCCAGAGTCCTCCACCAGCACATAATCTTGTGCTCCAAAAGACCTAACACTGAAAGCATTTGGAGTGAAATTGATTGATTATTTCTTGCTTTATTTCCACCCCGCCTTCCTCCCTATGGAGACTCATATCTATCACATTTCTTCTATTCCAAGGTGCCGTTGATTGTGAGACAGGCACTCATTTCAGTGCCACCAACAGAACAAAATACCCCTCTAGTTATATCCATTAAAAAGCACCCACCCATGATTATCAGGCCCCTTCTACACACCTGAATAAAATCCACATATTCTACTTTGAACTGGAATATACACCAGTGTGGACTCAGATAACTCAGTTCAAAGCAGATCTTGCGGGATTTTCTGCCTTGATATTCTGTATTATATGGCTGTGTGGAAGGGCCCTCATTTGCACCCCATTTTAAGACATGCATCTTAGAATTAAAGAAATGCGGTAAATATCACAAAGGAAGGCAGGAAAGAAAGGAGGGAGGAAGAAGAAAAGAAGAAAGGATGGGCGGAGAGAGAAAAAAGAAGGAAGGAAGGAAGGAAAGAGAGCAGCAAGGAAGGAAAGAAGGAATGAGAGAAGGAAAGAGAAAGTGGAACAAGAAAAGAAAGAGCAGGAGAAATGGAAAGAAGTAAGGAATTAGAGCAACAGGAAAAGAAGAATGGGGGGGGGAGAGAAACAAGGAGGGAAGGAGAGGGAAACGAGGAAAAGAAGGAAGGATGGAAAGGAAAGGAGAGAGCACAACAAGGAAAGAAGGAAGAAAGGAAGAGAGGGAAGAAAGGAAAAAGATGGAAAGAAGGAAGGGAAGAAAGAAGGAGAAGACAAACTTCAAGAAAAGGATAAAAAATCGAGGGACAATTTGGGGGCGGGGAGCGGGAGATGAGGACTTTTTTGCTCTCTTTTTTCATGACTGGCAATGGAAAGAAGGAAGGAGGGAGAAAGAAGGAAGGCGAGAGAGAAACAAGGAAAGAAGAATGGAGAGAGGAAAGGAGAGAGAAACAAGCAAAAGAAGAAGAAAGAATGGAAAGGAGAGAGCGAGAAGGAAAGAAAGAGCAATAAGGAAAGGAAGATGGAGGCTAGATGTACACTGCCCTTTATCCCAGGATCTGATCCCAGATTATCTGCTTTGAACTGGATTATATGAGTCTACACTTCCAGATTATCTGGGATAAGCAGATAATCTGGAATCAGATCCTGGGATAAAGGGCAGTGTAGATCCAGCTGGAGAGAGAGAAACAAGGAGAGAAGGACCGAGAGGGAGAGATTAACTGAAAGAAGGAAAGAGAGGGAGAAACAAGGAGAAAAGGCAGGAAGGGGTGAGGAACAAGGAAAGGGAGATGGAAGGATGGAAAGAAGGAGAGAGAAGGAAGGGAAAAGTAACAAGGAAAGAAGAAATGAGAGGGAAACAAAAGGAGAGAGAGAAGAAGGGAATGAGAAAGAAGGAAAGGGAGAGATGAAGGAAGGGGAGAAAAACAAGGAAAGAAGGACGGAGAGGGAAGGAGAGAGACATTATAAAAGGAAGGAAGGAAGGAAGGAGCAACAAGGAAAAAGGAGTCAGAAAAGCCAGGAAAGAAGGATAGAGAGAGAGAGGAACAGAAAGGAGAGAAGGAAAGACAGATAGAGAGAGAGAAACAAGGAGAGGAGGAGAGAGAAACAAGGATGGATGATGAGAGAAATGGAAAAGAAGGAAGGAGAGAAGCAAGGAAAGAAGGACACAAAAAGAAAAAGAAGAGAGGGAAAAACAGCAAAGGAAGAAGGAAGGATGGAGAGACAGAGAAGGAAAGAAGAGAGAAATTGAAAGAAGGAAAGGGACAAGGAAAGGATTGAGAGAAAAACAAGGAGAGAAGAAGGAAGAAACAGGAAAGGAAGGCAGAAGAGAGAGAAAATGGAAAGAAGGAAGGAGAGAGAAACAAGAACAGAGAAGGGAGAGTCAGAAACAAGGAAAGAAGAAAAGTGACAGAAGGAAGGGGAAAAAAAGGAGGGAAGTTAGGGAAGATAGGAAGGAAGGAGGGAGAAAACAGACATCAGGACAATGACAAAAAAATCAAGGGAGTTGGGACAATTTGGGGGCCATAACAGTGAGATTGGGGACTTTACTGCTCTCTTTTCATGACATTGTGGCGATGCCCACATCATTGCAAGTGCCAGAAACTCGATGCGAGGAAGATCCGCTGCACAGATGGGCTGCTGTGCTGAGCTGGCTGTTATGCGGCTTAGGAATCCAGTCTGTGCCGTTGACACCAATACGGGGATTTCTCCCGTAGTGGAGACGAGGGCTTTTTGACTACTCACGGTTGCGCTTGCCACAGGTGCAAAGCCCAGAGGCCAAGCGCACGTTGCTTCCTCTCTCGGATGCTCTCCCTCGCAATTTCGGTCGGTCACTGGGTCCGTGTAGCTGCCCTGCTCTGCCAGCCTCAGCAAGCAGTCTGGCTCCTCCGGTCCTGGGAGAAGCCTAATAAATAGCCCAGAACTCACAAAGAACTTTGCCTGCCATTGTTAGGTAGCCAGTGCTGTTTGTTCGTGTCATCTTGGCAATTTGCATAGGATGTTCCTTGCAAACCATTGGTTTGCGCATTAAATAACAATTTTAGGTAGGGGCTCAGACAGAGATATTAATCCCTTTGGTAAGTTGATCTCTCTCTCTGCCAGAGAGGGATCAGCATAAGTTGGAAACAACCTGAAGGAAGAGGGCTACAATAAATCTGTATTGCCTCCCCTAATGTGTCTTAGTTTTTAAAGAAGTTCTTGACGTCGTCTTTTTCCTTAAAACTCATCTACACTATAGAATTAAATAAGCGTGATACTTCTTTTAACAGGGAGGGAGGGAGGGAGGGAGGGAGGGAGGGAAGGAAGGAAGGAAGGAAGGAAGGAAGGAAGGAAGGAAGGAAGGAAGGAAGGAAGGAAGGGGAATTGGGTGGAAAGGGAGAAAGAAGAAGATTGACGGAGATGAAAGGAGGGAAGGAAAGGAGAGAATGAAGGAAAGGAGGGGGAAGGGGGAAAAAGAGAGGGAATAAAGGAAAGAAGAAAGGAAGGAATGGGGAGGGAGGGAAGGAAGGAATGGGAAATGAGGGAGGGAATGAATGAAGGAAAGAAGGAAAGGAAAGGAGGAGGGAGGGAAGGGGAAAGGAATGAAGAAGGAAGGAAGGGGAAGGGAGGGAAGGAAGGGAGCAGAAAAGGAGGGAAGTATGAAGGAAAAGGGAATTGAATAAGGAAGGGGATTTGAGGGAGAGCGAAGGAAAGGCAATGAAGGGGAAGGGGAAAAAGAGGGGGATAAAGGAAGGGAAGGAGAAAAGAAGGGAAGGAAGAAAGAAGGAGGGAGAAGGAGAAGGAAGAAAGGAAGGAAGGGAAAGGAAAAGGAAAGAAAGGGAGAAGGAAGGGGAAGGAGGGAAGTAAAGAAAGAAGAAGGAGGGGAGAGGAGGGAGAGGAGAGGGAAAGAGGAGAGAAAAAGGAAGAGGGAAGGAAAGAAAGGAAGGTAAGGGAGGAGGGGAGGAAGGAAGGGGAATTAAGGAAAGAAGGTGGGAAGGAAAGGGAAAGGAGGTAGGAAGGGAATGGAATGGAAAAGGAAGGAGGTATGAAGGAAAGGGAATGGAAGAAGTAAGGAAGGGGAATTGAGGGGAGAGGAAAGGAGGGAAGGAAAGAAGGAAAAAATGAAGGAAGGGGAGGGAGGGTAGGAGGAAAGAGGGAAGGAAGGAAAGGAGGGAACAGGAAGGAGGGAGGGAAGCAAGAAATGGGAAAGGAGCAAGATAAGGAATGAAGGAAAGGAGGGAGAGGAAAGAAAAGAAGGAGAGAATGAAGGAAGGGGAGGGAGGGAGAGAGAAGGAAAGAAAGTGGGAAGGAAAGAAAAGGAGGGAGGTAAGGGAGGATGGAAGGAAGGAAAGAAAGAGACAAGTAAGGAAAAAAGTGGTAAGGAAGGGGAAAGGAGGGAGGGAAGAAGAAGGAAAGGAAGAAGGATGAAGGAAAGAGGGAGGGAAGGAATGAAAAGAAGGAGGGAGGGAAGGTGGAAAGAAGGGAAAACGAAAAGAAGGAAAGGAGGGAATGGAAGAAGAAAGGAAGGCAAATTGTGGGAGAGAAAAGGAGGGAAGAAGGAGAGAATGGAGGAAGAGGAGGGAGGGTGGGGGGAAGAGGGAGGGAATGAAGAAAGGGAAGGAAGAGCGAAGAGAAGAAGGAGGGAAGGAAAGAGAGGGAGGTAAGGGAGGATGGGAGATAAAGAAGGAATGGGAAAGGAGGAAGGGAAGGATGAAGAAAAGAAGGAGGAAGAGAAGGAGGAAAGGATGGAGGAAGGAAGGAAGGGTAAAGGAGGGAGGAATAGAAGGTGGGGAGGGAAGAAGGAAAAAAGGAGCAAGCGAGCGAGCAAAGAAAGGAGGTGAAGCACCAGCACTTTTTGACCGAGAAAGCTCAAGGCCTCGTCAGACTACAACTCCTATGATTCCATAGCATCGAGCCATAGCAGTTAAAGTGATGTCAAACTGCATTCATTTCACAGTGTAGCTGAAGACTAATTCAAACACAGGTTGAGCATCCTTCTTCTGAAATCTGAAAGTGACCCCTTTGCTTTTGGGTGGTTCTGGTGCCCACACTTTGTCTCATGTTCTATAAAATGACCTTCAGGGAATATATGGAATGTACACAAATGTTGTGTTTAGGCTTGGGTTCCATCTCCAAGAGATCTCATTCAAAGAAGAAATACAAATTCAATATATAGCATCTCTCTCTCTGGACAGAACAGGAAAACTCGGGTTCAAGACTTCACTGAGCCATAAAAGTCATTGGCTGGTGTTGGGAGCCATTGCTTGCATAGCTTGGCCTACCTCGCAGGACTGCTGAGGATTCACTCTACAGTGCAGATGCAGCCCTAGAAACACTGAATGTCGTGTCCAAGCGGATCATGCACATATTCAGGCCTTTCTCTGTGTTGTTCTTGCAGGGAGAAGGACCTCCTTGGAGTCCAAGTCCCTGGGGAAAAGCAAGTTCTCCAACTTCTGGATTTGATTTGCGGATGTCTACATGCTGACGAAGGAGGGCAAACACCACTTCCTGCAGCTTTGGGACACAAGATGAGTCGGGGAACCTGCTTTTCTGGCCTGTCTGGGTATGTTTTGGATATTGAAACCAATGGAGAATGCAACGTGACCACATACTTGTGGCGCAACCTCTTGTGGCGCAACCTCCATTTACAAGAATCCTTGTATATTACTTTCAGCAGTGCCTTCGGCCATCTCTGGAGTGAGAGGCCCTGCTGTGCCACTTTGGGTTCATGCACAGTGTCACATGGATGGCGTTTGATGCCACTTTTGATGCCACGGTTCAAGGCTATGGAATCCTGGGCCGTTCCTGTTCCCTAACTACGACTCCCAGGATCCCATAGCATGGAGCCATGGCACTCAAAAGTGATCCCAAACTGCATTGTGGAGATCCAACTGCACCATCAAGAAGCAAAAAAGGGTGCCTTTCCCATCCTCCTGTGGGGGAAGAGGTGGAATTTGGGGGATATTTCCAATCCTGGGGTTCAATCAGTACTGAATTGGGTGAATAAAAATACAAAGGGCAAACCTGGGTTGGGGGTAATGAGCCTGAAAACAGAACAGGCCTTGTTTCCCATTTTGACTCCCCCTTGAATGTTTTTGGTATAATCCTAATTAGAGTCATGCCATTCCCCTCGTTGGCCACTGGAGGGCGCCGGAGTCACACCACTGCCAGCCGATTGGGGAAGCAGGCCATGGAGGCCAGGCTGGGCTCTGCAGCTGCTGCCTTCCAATTGCCGCCATGGGTGAGTGGGCAAAGGCGCCCTCCCTGGACTCACAGTGGGGGGGGGGGGCATGCCGGGCAAGGGGGGGCATGCCATGGCATCTCTAGGGGCAATTGGAGGAGCTGCAATCCTTGACAAATTGGCATAGCAGCAAACCCCCTCAATCGGGCCCCCCTGGGCTCCCCTTTGCCAGCCTGGGCACCATCCCCCTTCTTTCTTGCCAGTGTCCCCCCTTCTTTGCACCCTGGGGTGTCTTTCCCCCTATTTTTGTCCAGGTTGGGTGTCTTTTTTCTCCCCTCTTTTGCCAAATTGCGCATCTCCTCTTGTCCTATTCAAGCTTAGGCTCATTTGCCAGCTTGGGCATCTCCCCCATCCACTTCTAGCCATCTTGGGCCTCTTGTTTTCCCCCTTTTTGCCAGCTTAAGCACTTTATCCTTCTTTTTTGCCATATTGGGCATCTTTCCCCTCCATTTTTTTTTTGGCCATTTTACTCCCTGTTTGCCAGCTGGGGCACCCATTTCAAACTTCTTTGCAAAATTGGGCATCTCTTTTCCCCTTAATTTTTTTTTTTGCTAGGCCAGGCACCATGTAGTCTCTCTTTCTCAGTTTGGGTGCCTTTACCCCTCTTCTTTGCCATCTTGGGGACCGTTTTTCTCCTCTTTGCCAGCTTGGGCTTCTTTTGCCAAAGCATCCCTTCTGTGCCCAAATTCTGGGCTCTCTATGGGCCCTCGGTGGCACTGTGGGTTAAACCGCTGAACTGCTGAGCTTGTTGACCAAAAGGTCTCAGGTTCGAATCCAGGGAATGGCGTGAGCTTTTGCTGTTAGCCCCAGCTTCTGCCAACCTAGCAGTTCGAAAACATGCAACGGTGAGTAGATCAATAGGTACCGTTCTGGCAGGAAGGTAATGGTGCTCCATGTAGTCATGCTAGCCACATTACCTTGGAGGTGTCTACGGACAATGCTGGCTCTTTGGCTTAGAAATGGAGATGAGCATCAACCCCCCAGAGTCGGATACGACTGGACTTAATGTCAGGGGAAAACCTTTACCTTTATCCAGCCTCTGGGCAGATCTATTATGGCTTTGGGGCAATCCAAAGTCTTGCCAACATATCTGCCTGGCAAGCCCATTGCATCATTCTAGCCATGTTACCCTGCAAGAACTGCTACAAGACACTGGGATTTGTAGTTTGTTGCCGCGCCGTCAGTATCCCACAAAACCGACATATCCCAGAGTTGCATATCAGTGAGCCATGGGCACTGAGGTGGAATCTAATTGCTATAATTCTTCAGTGTAGATACAGCTAGTGCAAGCCTAGGCCAACCCTGCAAATAATGGAAATTGTAGTTTAAGGAGCACTAGAGCTCTCCAGCTGGGAATTCTAGGTCCCCCTCCTTACACTGCAAATCACAGGATGGAACCATGGAGGTTGAAGTGGATTTGTGGTGTGAAAAGGCCAAATGGACGGGACTATATATACACACACGCACATACATATATCCACACACACATATATGTATACTATATCACACACACACATGCATATCATATATGCGCACACACACAATGCACATGTATATCATACACATGCATATACAGTATATACACATATATGTGCACACACATGTATACCACACACACACATATAGCCACACACACATCTGTATACCATATCACACACACAAATATGTATACCATATATATATATACATATATGCACACACACAATACACATGTGTACCATATACACACACATGTAGTGTATATACATGCATGTATGCACACATGTACACACACATACATGTATACCATATACACACACAAATGTGTGTGTGTGTGTGTGTATGTGTATATATATATATATATATATATATATATATATATATATATATACACACACACACACAGTAGAGTCTCACTTATTCAACCTGCCTCGTACCCGGATCCATAGCTGTTTCAATACATTGCGATGTTTTGATGCGAAATTCGTAAATTCAGTAATTACTACATAACATTACCGTGTATTGAATTGCTTTTTCTGTCAATTTGTTGTAAAACATCATGTTTTGGTGCTTACTTTGTAAAATCATAACGTAATTTGATGTTTAATAGGCTTTTCCTTAATCCCTCCTTATTATCCAACATTTTCGCTTATCCAACGTTCTGCTGGCCTGTTTATGTTGGATAAGCGAGACTCTACTGTATATATATAGAGAGAGACACACACATACATATGTACACATTCATACACACATACACAAACACAGGTTGCAGATTTCACTGACTTGTCAATGTATTGGTGTTTTTTTATATATTTTTAATGGTTTTCACTGTTGATTGATAATACTTGCAATGTATTTTTGTGTTCTGTGTGTTTGGTTTGAATTCATGCATTCTTTGAGTTTGGATTGTTAGCTGCTTGGAGTCTCCTTGAGGAGAGAAAAGGCAGGGTATAAATACACCATCACAATAGTAATAATGATGAAAAAAAACTTCTTGGCTGTGGAAGCCCCCTGGGTATCCTGGGGTAAAGTCACACTCTCTCTGCCTCAGAGGAAGGCAAAGGCAGACCTCCTCTGGGGGAATCGTGGCCAAGAAAACCCTGAGATGGGGCTGCCAGAATGATGGGAAGGGAGAGAATAAAGACTGTACATGTCTTGGGAGCGGAGGGGCCCCAAACGGCTAGCGTTGGTCTGTGACAACGAGAAATCATTGCATTGGAGTGTGAGTTTTCATGGAATAGAAAGGTGAAGGTTGAGAAATCTCTGTCCCTGAAGCACTTCATACCTCCACTTTCTAAATAGAGGATTTCCCTTGCACCGCCCAGGCCTGTTTAAGGGCGACACACCTAAACAAACACCCTTCCCTGGCCCTCTGAGGGCAAGGCGGCTGCTTCGCTTCTCCGACAGACAGTTGCGTTATTCGGAGGGAAGGTTGGGAGGACGGAAGGCCCCCCAAGTCGCAATTTGGTGGGCGCTTCCTTGGCTTCTGCTTCGTAACCGGATGCCTCGTGAGTACAGCTCATTTCTTCCTGTGTATTTAGGGCCCCCTGCAAGCAGAGTGACAAATCCACCCATTAACGCCAAACTCTTGAATCTTGAAAGAAGGAAGGAAGGAAAGGAGAGGTGGGAGGAAAGGAAGAAAGCAAAGGAGGAAGGAAAGAAGGAGGGAAAGAAGGGGAGGAGGGAGAATAGGAAGAAGGGAAGGAGGAAAGAAAGAAGGGAGGGGAGATAGGAAGAAGGGAGGGAAGGAGGGATAATAGGAAGGAGGGAAGAAAGGAAGGAGGAAATAAAAAGGGTGGGGGAAGGAGAGAAAGGAGGAAAGGGGAGGGAGGAAAGGATGAAGGAGGAGGAAGAAAGAAAGAGGAAGGAAAAAAGAAAGAAGGAAGGAGAGGGAAGAGGGAGGGAGGGAAGAAAGAAAGGAGGGAGGAAGGAGAGATGGAAAGGAAGGAGGAAGAAGGAGGCAGGAGAGAAAGGAGGGGGTGGGAGGAAAGAAAAAAAGAAGGACCAAAAGAAGGAATGAAACAAAAGAAGAGGAAAGGAGGGAGGGTGGGAGGGAGGGAGGGAGCATAAGAGGAAAGAAGGAACAAAAGGAAGGAAGGAGGAAACCGGGGGGGGGGGGGACCAGAAGAAAGGAAATTTTGGAAGGAAAGGAAGGATGGGGGAAAGAACACATATGTATGTGTTGAAGTTGGCACCAGTTTGCCATTAGGATCCAGAATCTTGCTGCTAGCATGGCCTCTGGGAGTTATAGTGCTAAAATAAAATAAAGGAAGCTCCAAAAATGGGAGGTTAGGGCAGAGAATGGGATCCTGAGCAGTAGGCCCAAGGGACATATATGGGAGTCAGGTTGCTGTTAAGTGAGAAGGCCCTTTAAATGTAGGTTCTGGTTGCCTGAGAGTGATTGCTAGAACATAACTAATATGTACTATATCCCATGCTAGACCATACCACAAACTCTGTATTGACTTGATACACATACAGTTGTTCAAAGTAAGCAAAGACAAATAGAATGGGATGCAGCTTTACTGTGTCATAAAAATTGCTGTGTGGATGCAGGATTATTCCATTTTTTTGCCATTTGCTTGGGAGTTCTGGTTAACTGAAAGCCTACTGTATTCACTTTTGTGGAAGAAACATACATTAGTGCAAAAGTCTTGGACTTATGTAAGTCGGTGGAGTTTTCTCTAACCAGATGCCCTCTGGGTTTTGGGACTTCTCAGATTCCTGACCATAAACATACTTAGGACATTGGGTTGGTAAAGACTGGGACCGAATTCAAAAAGAGAAAGAAATTCCACCTAAACATTAGGAAGAACTTCTTGGTGGTAAGAGCTGTTTGGCAGTGGGACATGCTGTCCCAGAAACTGGTGGAGTCTCTTTTCTCTGGAGGACTTGAAGCAGAGGCTAGATGGCCATCTGTCAGGAGGGTTTGGAATGTATCTTCCTGCCTGGCAGAAGGGGGTTGCATTGGAGGGCCTTTGGGGTCTCGTTCAACTCTGGGATTCTAAGTAAGGAACAAAGAGAAGAACATATAGGACTCATTCATCAAGGTCACCCCATTGGGTTTTGTATAGTGGTGAAGGGATTTGAATCCCGGTCTCTAGGGTCCAAGTCCATCACCCATGCTGGCACATCCACCTAATACCTGAAATGTAGCAGGAGTCCTGGCCAGGAATCCAAGACGATAACAGTCATTCTCTCAAAGCCTTCACAGCTTTCACATCACAATTACACAACACTCAATGGTTCCAGGCCATGGGTGGCACAGCTGCCCAGATCTTGGGACTCCAATTCGCAACATTTGGAGGGCTAGAGGTTCCCTCGCCTTGCAGCATTGCCAGTCTGAAGGGTGGGACAGAAGTCCTCTGCGAAAGGCTCGCCACAAGAAAGTGGTACGAGCTCTTTGTGCCCTGTTACCGGATGTTTAAGAGCCATCGATCTTTGACTTGTGGGATGGGCGAGGAAAAGATGCCTGGGGCAGATCTGTTGAGTAATGTAGTATGTGGTCACGCCTTCAGCTCTGAATTCCACAACACGGCCACAAGGGGCGAGGCTGGCAAAGGGCACAACATGGCCCTCCGCGCTGTTTGGGATACAGTCATGCCGAGGATTGGGGTTGGCGCTGACTCATGCTTTGATTCACATCCTCCCTGCTCTTGTCACTTCCTGTGCCATGCCTTGCCATGCTGGTAACTCCTTGGCTTTCCTTTCCTTTGCTCTAAGGGCTGACTCCCCATGATGCCCAGGGCCACCGTCAAGCTCATTATAACCGGAGATGATTTTGGCTACTGCCCGCGGAGGAACCAAGGCATCGTGGAGTGCTTCCTCACGGGCGCCGTGTCCAACGTTTCCCTTCTGGTCAATGGTGCTGCCGTGACGGATGCTGTTCAGCTGGCAAAGAGGTGAGAGTGCCACTATGGAAATGACATCCTGGTTGGATGTGGTCATATGTTCTACCTGGGGCCGCCCTGGAAGATGGTTTAGACCAGGGGTCCACAAACTTTTTAAACAGAGGGCCAGGTCACAGTTCCTCAAACTGTTGGAGGGCCGGATTATAATTTGAATAAAACATGAATGAATTCCTATGCATGCCACATATCTTATTTGTAGTGCAAAAATCACTTAAAAACAATACAGTAATTAAAATGAAGAACAATTTAACAAATATAAACTTATTAGTATCTCAATGGGAAGTGTGGGCCTGCTTTTGGCTCATGAGATAGGATTGTTGTCGTCGTTGTTGTGTGCTTTCAAGTCGTTTCAGATTTAGGTTGACCCAGAGCGAGGGCCGGGTAAATGACCTTGGAGGGCCGCATCCGGCCCCCGGGCCTTAGTTTGAGGACCCTTGGTTTAGACATTTATTTATTTATTTATTTGCTGCATTTATTAACCGCCGCTCTCAGCCCTGGGGCGACTCGCGGCGGTGTACAACACATAAAAACACAGTTTACAATAAGCCAACATGACAGTAACCGACATATCATTACTACACAAACACAAACATTTCAGTGCTCCCACCCGCCCACCCACCCAAAGAAAAGGCTGTAGGAAGATAGTTAAATGGAAGCACAGAGGTCTTTTGTCGAAACAGCTCTTCTGGCTGCCAATCAATTTCCAGGCACTACGTTTCTTTCCCAGTGAAATCACAGAGGGCCACTTCACCTAGCAACAGCCAGTCCAGTGACATCACAGAGGGCCAGCAAAGCCCTATGTGGTGCAGATCTGGAAAATCTGAAGGGCTGTATATCTTATGGTGATTTTTTTTGTGTGAGGAGCGACTTGAGAAACTTCAAGTTACTTCTGGTGTGAGAGAATTGGCCGTCTGCAAGGACGTTGCCCAGGGGACACCTGGGTGTTTTTTTTATGTTCCACCATCCTTATGGGAGGCTTCTGTCATGTCCCTGTATGGAGAGCTGGAGCTGACAGAGGGAGCTCAACCACGCTCTCCCCAGATTCGAACCTGCGACCTGTCAGTCTTCAGTCCTGCCGGCACAAGGGTTTAACCCACTGCGCCACTGGGGGCTCCTCCTAAGATGATGAGCATAATCCGTTTTTATTAACAACATCCGTTCTTATTTCAGAGAGTACCAGTTCACATATATGCCGTTTGACCTAAGAGATTACAATAAAAAACATCTCTCTGTTTAAAAGTCAAAGTATATCTGTGTGTCTGTACCACAAAGGCTGTTGCTAGGTAAAGTGGCCCTCTGTGATGTCACTGGGAAATAATAATAATAATAATAATAATAATAATAATAATAATAATAATAATAATAATATATTTCTATTCCACTTTCTCTCCCAGTGGGAACTCAGGGCAGTTCACAACATGCCGTAAACAAACCATAATTGAAATCATAACACATTAGACATCGACATCAAATAACAATGGGAACTCTTCGCACATCTCAAAGGAGACACGTTTATGAGGGGAAGGGAGGAAGATCAGTAAGTAGGTAAGGGAAAGGGAAAGAAGAGATAAAAGCCGGGGGGCAGTGACCTCTCCAACACCTGGCAATGTCAGGCATGTGTGATGATGATGATGATGATGATGATGATGATGATGATGATGATGATGATGATAACAATAACAAGAAGTCCCTGTTGCAGTGTTGCCTTGACTATATATTTCCTGCTTTGGGTGGGCGGGGGGAAAGTGGTGTGGAAAGGATTTACACTCCTGCGTATGTCTGGGGTAGTTTTCTCTTTCTGGAAGGTCCAGGTCTGCCTTGGGTAAATATAGAAACCACCTGGCCTCATTTCAGATGCCAGGCCTGGCGGAATTGGGAAAGTAGGCCACATGACACAAGACTGAAATTGCTCCCGTCAATCCAGATCAGATTGATTGTCCAGTTCTGGGCACATCTCTGGGTAGATATTGATCAGTGGTTTGGAAACTGAATCCTGAGGAGAAGCAGCTGAGGGAGCCAGGTTTTTTCCCCCTTCCATGGTTCAGACTCGATTTCTCCCTCGCTAGGGCCCTATCTCCCTGTGGTTCTGTGCCAACGTGAGCTGCCCAGAAAGGGAGCTTCACATGTGAAACATCTCTGGGAGAAGCTTGTTGCTGGGTCAGCCTTTTCTTTTTTAAACTGACCACTAGGATAAATTTAGACCGCAATGGCCAGCACCATAATCCTTTTAACCGCCTCTGCTGACGGAAAGGATTGCCTGGGCGCTGGGGCAGGAATGTCAATGTCAGAAATACTCCCAGACTGCAGATAACATGCGGAGTCCTCGCTCTGGAATCGCCCTTTGGAATCGTTGGATTGCAGCCCCCATCGTCCCCAGTCCAATCTGGCTGGGGGGAATGGGAGCTGTGGTCTAACACATTTGGGTTGGGGACATATTTTGCAATTGACAATCTTAAGTATCATAAGGTCTTTCTGTGCCCCAAATATCCTATGGTCTTTCTGTTGTGCATACCTCCAAAGAACACACAATTGACATGTTGTAATCCACATCAATTGCTTTGCCCCCTTTTCTAGAATACATAGGCTTCAACATCGCTCATGAAACATAACGTGAACCTTTTCCATCCTTCAAGGAAACGTCACTTGTTGGCAAAAGCCGGAAGCTGACCTTCGTTTTCATGTCACCTTTCTGTAGGCATCACATCCCGATTGGGCTTCATGCCAACCTTTCTGAAGGCTCTCCTGTTTGCCCAGCCCTGAAGGAGTCCTCTTCACTGCTCAACACGGAAGGCTTCTTTCACGGGAAAATGGGGATCCGGAGGGTGTTAGCAGAAGGCCATCTGAACATGGCAGAGGTGAGAGGAAGGCAGAGGTGTTCCCTTTCAAAGTTGCCCGGGGGCAATGCCAGCCCGATCCCCTTTGGGTGGGTTGGATGGCTAGGCCATGTTTAGGCCTAGTTAAGCCTTTAAAGCAGTGGTTCCCAACCTTTTTCTTTTTGACCAGGGGCCACTTTGACCAGGGACCACTCTCCCAACATTAGTACCAAAAGGGTTACGAATCAGTTTTTGGTCAACTTTAGATTTGGTCTGGTTATTTGGGGTGCTGATTCAGAAAATTGCATTAGATAGACCACATCAGCTTTAGTTTCTGATACAGAACGTATGCCATCAGCAGTCACCATCTGCTTGTCCACAGAAAACCATATTTAATACGCCTCAGCACTATAAGAGGGTTTCACAAGTCCAGTCACTCTTGTTGCAACAGAGGCAGGGGGATCTGTGGCGCCTTTATTTATTTATTTATTTATTTATTTATTTACAGTATTTATATTCCGCCCTTCTCACCCCACAGATGACTCAGGGCATATTACAATGCACGTATACATGGCAAACATTCAGTGCCATTAGACATACAACATATATAGACAGACATTGAGGCAATTTAACATTCCAGCTTTCCAGCTTCATGAGGTTATCCTCAATCCTGGCCACAGGGGAAGCTGCCGCTTCACCATTTATTTAGTATTTATTTCGAGGTTTTATATACCGACCGTCTCACCTTCAAAGAGGGATTCGGACCGGTTCACAACATGTGTTAACATACAAAGAATATACAATAACAACACAATGCCACTTCATAACACGATTAAAATATCAGCACTATACACATTAAAACATTATATACAAGAATATACAAAAACAACACCAGCCACTTGTGACATCGAGTCCTTGACGGAGTACTTCCTCATTCTTCTGCACGCTGCTGGAAGGTTTTATGGTGTCATAAATTAGTTAAGTTAGCCTCCCTACATAAAGCAGTACCTAAATTTCCTGCTTGACAGATGCAACTGTCTTTTGGGCTTCATAGCTCAACAGCAAGCTAGACTATTAATGGTCGGGAGCTCACTCCAACCTCACCTGGCTTCGAACTCGTGGCCTCTTGATCAGTAGTGATTTAATGCAGCTGCCTACTAACTAGCTGCACCACAGCCCAGTCTTTTAAACCATATATAATAATTTAGAGCTGATGTAGTCTATCCAAGGGAGCAGGACTGATCAGCGACAGGGAAGGTGTGGCAGGCGGCGTGAAAGAATCAGAAAATAAAATAAATAAAGAGGAAGGCTCGCAGCCCAGATTTTCATCCTCGCAGACGCACTGGTGGTCCGCAGCCCATAGGTTAAGAACCACTGCTTTAAAGAAACAGCCGGATGTATCCTGGTCACATCTGTGTTGTTTTTCAGTTTACTGAAGCCCCAAAACATGGTGAGGTAATGGCCATTAAATGGAGGCAATTTGGGCATAAGCAACAGTTTGGCCAGGCCTCTCCCAAAGTGTTTGTTGTAGAAAATCAAACTTGGCGTGTATTAAGAATAAACTCTTGACCGTTTTCCTCTTTAGGTCAGGCAGGAACTCACAGCCCAAGTGGAGTTGTTCCATAAACTCACCGGCCACTTGCCCTACCATATGGATGGACACCAACATGTTCACGTTCTCCCAGGTAGAGTCAACCTCCCCTTTTCTTCCCCGTTCCTTCCACTTTTAGTCATATAGGAAACTTGGGCAGTCAGATCCCAAAGACATTGCCAGGTTAGGAGGTATCTATACTGTAGAATCAGTGCAATTTGACTTCATTTGAATGGCCACGGCCCAGTGCAAAGGGATCCTGGGAGTTGTCATTTGGTGAGACACACAAACTACAACTTCATGTGTGAATTCTACGGTGCTGATGCACCGATGCTTCCCAAACGTAATACTCCCGGCCTTTAGGACTTCCAACTCCCAGAAGCCCCAACCAGCTTAGCCGATTGTCAGGAATTCTGGAAGTTGACATCCAAACCATTTGGAGGACCAGAGTTTGGGAAGCACTGCACAAGATGCTTTTAGAACCTGATGGGGAAGAAATGCCAGCAAACAAACACAAGGAGTGGGTTGCCAAAAGGCAGAGTCGGCTCCAAGGCACAGAACGATGAAACCAACACAATTGTGCCTCTTCCCAGTAATGCCTTTTCTGGGTTGCTGATAATGGAGTGACACAGCTGCTCAGCTCTTTCAGTGCATCTTTGATGGCAGACCTATGGGCAAGGTGGTGCTTAGCACACTCCCACTCTCTTTATTGAGCTGCGTCAAGAAGGACCTGGACCTGCTGTTCCCCCCTCCTGTTCTGCCCAAGGGCCAGGAAAGAGTTAATCTATAGCTCTTGCAAATCTGCCAACAGCTGCTTACAGATCAAGTTACCTGTTTTGATAAAGTTGCCATGAGGCTGGTTTGCAGGAGGGACTTGTTTTCATTGCTTTCTAGGTCAGGCGCAGCTGTTTTGGTGACAACTGCCATCTGCCTTCCCTTCCGTAATGCCCTCCGCAGAAGGCAATGCAGGCCTTACAAGTGAAGCAGAACCAAATGTCCAATACTTTTGGGAAGGTTTGGATAAACAACTAGACCCCCCCCCCCCCAAAAGAATGTTTCTGACATCTGGCTGACTCCAGCTCTCAGGAGACCCTTGGCATAGTGTCCTGCCCCCCCCCTCCCCCCAAGACTTACCTGACAGCAGCATTCCTTGCATTGGTGTCAGATGGTTTCCACATTTGTTTTGTCCAGTGTCTGGGGTACTGGTACTGGTGTTACAGGTACTGCGGGAAATTCATCCCCAGTGGAATGGATACCGTTGTCCAGTTTTCTGATATGTAGCCTCTTACTTGAATATAGGTTTCTCACTACCATGGTACCCACTCCCTATCCCTAATGTATCACTAGTTACCATATATACTCATAATGTATGTCTAATTCAAGTACAAGTCGAGGGCAGGTATAAGTACAACTCAAGGGTCATCCCACAGAAAGAGGGAAACCACCATCATTCCCCTGCCCAGACATTAAAAAAGACCAGAAGTGGCACTGTAGCGGATGCAGTAGATAGGTCTCGATGCTCTTTTGGATTTTCCCGGCAGACTAAACCCTTGTATTTATTATGGTCTCAGACCAGAAGTTTGAAATGAGATTACACCCTTGACTTTCACCACTTTATTCAGAGAAGGGGATAATAGTTCATATTTGAGAGGATAAGAGAGGGGATACCATACATTGACCGATGGATCAGTCAACCCAAGTTTTTTGTATGTTGATTTTTGGACTACTGTATGTAAGTTTGAACAGGTACTTTTTAAAGTGTTGCTCCAGCCATATATATATAAAATCTTTGGCTAGCATAGGGAAGGCTTAATACCCCTGTGGTGTTTATTTTGCTGCCTGTGTCCCTGTTCAGAAGATTTCATCTCACTTTCTATCCCTGTGATAATTGGATTTTGAAAAAAAATGTCTTGTTGTGGAAACAAGGATTGGTGAGAAAGCTTCAGTGGAGACCCCTTTCCCCCATGATATTTTTTTTCTGGGGTGAATTTCTCTCACTTCCTGTTGTCTCATCCCCATTTATAACTATGAGTCATTTTGTAAGTCAAATGTTTATATCTGGGGGGCTGACTGTATTAGAAAAGCTACCAGAGGTGTAGCTTTAGCAGCCAAAATGCACTCCCAGCTTTGTTGTTTTTGCTCTTGCTTCGACAGTTGGGAGTCAGAATGCCTTGGGAATGTTTTCCTAAAGATGAAAGGGGCAGATGCTTGTCCCTTCATGTAGTTGGAAATTTCCCAGCGACACTGGGGAAAACTACCCAAAGTCCAATGCCCCCCCCCCAAAGGAAATTCCCCCCAGCTTTGGTCCCTCTCTGCAGTGTAAGGTCAGTGCACATGTTTTGGAGAATGTGGCAAATCTTGAACTCATTTTGGTGAGGAGGTTCAGGACAGCCAGAAATGGGTGGGCAGTCCCCATTTGGGATGGGAAAAAAAGCCTTTTTCTACCAAGGCCTGGTCTGACATCAGGAAACGGGCCCCTCAAGGCAGAAGGCGTGTATGTGCCCACCACTTTTGAGTACAGAAACTCTCTGGGCTGTCAACTCTTACTTCAAAACTGGTAACATGATAGCAACATATTTTAAGACAGGCTAGTGGAGGTGTGTGGAAGCCACCTGACTCACTGGTTTGTAATACCACCCAGCTTGATTTTGCATAACGCTAGGATTACTTCTAGAGTTTAACATCCGAGTAACTTTCCCCTTGTTTACTTTTCTTCCAGAGATAAGGCATGTGTTTGCACAGCTGCTAGTGGATTACGGGATCATGTATACTCGGGTCCCCATAGAACCAGATCTTCCTCGTTGCAGCTGGATAGACCCTTCCTTGATGGCTTTCTATTGCAGTGTGGAGAAGGACTCGCTCAAGACGGTGGATGTGTTCCGAAAGCACCACATACGGTGAGGCAGCCATGTTTGGGAAATAATGTTGCATCTGCTGGTGCCCGACTCATCTTCAAATCATTTTGGTAAAAAAATATCCCCCCCCCCCCCCAACAAAATTAAACACATGTACGGCCAATCCACTGATGTCTTTTGCTTTGGGCAAGGAGGTTAGAAGCTCTGGGTGTATTTGACCCAAACCATCATATATGTGGACCAGTTTTGGGTTTACTTTGGCTCTTTGGGTGGCAAAGGAGCTCGTGAAAATTGGTGAACTTATGAAGAAAATGTGTGGGGTGGGAGGGCAGCCAAATGTGGCTACTGATGCTTTTATTTAAGGATAGTATTGGAGACCTTTAGTGGAGCAAAAATGACAGTGCGGGTAAACCTCAGCTGATGAAGTCCAATTGTTCCTTGGCCTTATTTCTGTTAACAGAAAACTCTTCTAAATTGCATCCAGGGCAATGTTTTCTTTCACCAGTCTCCACTTTTGGCAATCAGACCTAAAGATCCCTTTCTAATACACTGGTGATAACCGGAGAGAGATGTATCTGCTCTCTCTTCTATGTTTTGCTATTCACATATTGCTTCATAAGGTATTTTGTGGGTAGCTGCTGTCCACCTCGCCTGCTGCAGGCAGCCACAAGGAACTACAGTTCGAATGGCTAGGACAGAATTTCGCTTTCCCCCCCACCTTGGTTTGCTTTCAATATAGTTTGTTGCAGGCACGCTGCTGCAACCTGACATGGAAAGTCTTTCTCCATCTTCCCAATGGCAATGCTGCTAAAATCCATTCAGCTTGTATACATGTTTTTACAAAGCAATAGCTGTCAAGATTTATGGTATCCTCTTATCTGTATTTCTGGGATTGACTGATCCTCTTTCCCAACAGGTGGCCAGATATATACATAGGTCTGAGCACCATGGGGAAAAACATGTCCATGAGCAATATTCTCGGCGCGATCGACAATGCGACTGCAGCTTACCAGGCAAATAAGGACTCTGATCGGGAAGCCCGAAGCGTCACCATTGAACTGATGACGCATCCTGGGTACCCCAGCCTTCCGCCAGTTGGGGGCTGCGGTGAAGGGCCGGACGATTTCTCCCAGTCCTGGGAGCGCTTGCACGAACTGGAGACTTTGAAAAAACCAGAACTGCAGAGCTGCTATAAAGCGAGGAACATTGAGCTGTGCTCATTTAAAGAGCTCGAAGTGTGATGGAGGGCAGTAGATCCTTTGGTTGGGAATGATGGAGGAGGCAGGGTCAGTTTAAGTGTGGCCCCTGGTGCATTGTAGCATTATGGCCCCAAATAGCGACACCTTGGAATTGAGGAATGAGAGTCCATTCTCATCCTTGGATGAGCTTCCCTGTATTAGGAGTCTCAACCTATCAGGTGAGCTCACTATATCCAGACCTGAATTGGGCTGGGGTAGTGTGGCCTCCATAAATTCAACCTGAAAAATAAACATTCACCAGCATGACTCAGATTTCATGCTGGTGACAATGGGAATTTATCAGCTGTATCAGCAATGGTAAGAGTTGTACGCACCCACCGCCTGCAGGAATTCTTCATCTGGAGGCGTGAGGAACTTGGGGAAACTTGACAGGTTGAAATCCTGCTTAAGGGGTGGCTCTAGTGGTTGGTTTGCTCGATGGGGCACCCTACTGCCAAAGTGAACACTGTATGGGGCTGTTTCGTTGCCTTTAGTTCCAGAGCTGTGGTTTTTAGCTTTAAGCACATTGGGATGTGTGTGCCTTCTGGGATGAAATATGGCTGCCCCTATTGAATTTAGTTCTGCTTAAAGAGTTTAGGACTCTGGCTGTTAAACACCTTTCAGGCTTTGGATGTAATGGGTGTGGAACATGGATGGCCACAGAGTGTGAAGGGAGAGGTTGGCATTCATTTGGCCCAATGTTGGGCAGGATAGAAATATTTTAATAAAATATAAACTAACAGTCTAGCGTGTCTGGTTTCAGCTGCCTCCATACCTGCAAGGCCCATATCCTATGGGATCTCACCTATATTTCTTGAGTTTGTGAACAAAACAGATTTTTTATTTTTTAAGTTTCATGTAATCCAAACCTGGATTACAGTAGTTGGAACTCTGCAGCAGTTCCCAAGACAGCACCTCTTTCCTGCACGTGTACACAAGCAAATCAAAGTACAGTGCTCCCCTGCTACTTTGCGGTTCGCTTTTTATGGACTCGCTGTTTCGCGGGTTTTTGCCTCCTGGCAACGATGGAATATGGAAGGGGGTTTCTCCCTCCCCCTTGGGAGAGAGGCAGCCAATCATAAAAAAAGAGAGGGAGGAGATACAAAGCGGTATGTAAATCACGGCCTTACAGCTAGCAAAATAAATAAATAAATAAATAAATGCATGGTGCCTTAAATCTCTCACTTCTGCCTCACCCTTGGAATGTATATATATATATACACACACACACACACACACACACACACACATGAGATAGAGCTAGCGTCCCTACTTCGCGGATTTTCATTTTTTGCGGGTGGTCCTGGAACGTAAGACCCGCGATAAGTGAGGGAACACTGTACAGCAATGAAACCTTGCAGCTCCATTGAGGCAAACCGCTCAATCTTGTGCAGTTTCACTCAAATCATTCAAGTAACACAGAAAATTTCAAGGATAACAAAGGTGGAAAATTAGGGAAGTAATTAGTAAAGGAAAAAGGAAATGACAACTTTTTGCTTTAAATGTTGGGCCCCTAGGCAGGCAAGAGCCCAGAGCCGACTTGCACCAATTGAGAATATGATCATGTATGATGGTCCCAAATGCACGCTATATATCTTCATGTATAAGTCGATCTATAAGGGTGGTTTCGGAGGCCACAATGAAGGGTTTTGATATGACAAGTTACTAAGTTGAGGCTCATTCAATGGAGATGGGAAAGCACCAATGCTGCCTAAGGGGTCCAGGCACCATTTACTCAAGCAAGCATTCAAAAATACCCACTGTGGAGAAACAGGGATGGAATTTGAACGTGTTAAGGTACGGTAGTGCCCTGAGGAGAAATCAATCCAAGTTTTTGGGGGGGTCGATTTTTGGAATAAAATATTTATAGACTTATGAGTATAGACCAGGCATAGGCAAACTTTCTAACTTGGGGGCCGCATACTAGGACTTCCTGTTAGGAGGACTGGCTGCTCGGTGTTGGAAGGAGGAAAGAAAGACGAAGGGAGTGAGTGAGTGAGTGAGTGAGTGAGTGAGTGAGTGAGGGAAGGGAGGGAGGGAGGGAGGGGGGGGAGGGGAGGGGGGGGGGGGGAGGAGGGGGAGGGAGGGAGGGAGGGAGGGAAGGAAGGAAGGAAGGAAGGAAGGAAGAAGAAGGAAGGGGAAGGAAGAAGGAAGAAGAGAAGGAAGGAAGGAAGGAAGGAAGGAAGGAAGGAAGGAAGGGGATGAATGTGGGAAGGAAAGCCAAAAGAGAAGGGAGGATGAAACAGTGGAAGGGGAGGAAGGGAAAGAGGAAGGAAGGTATGAATGCAGAGAAGGATGGGTGGAAGGAAAGATGAAGGAAAGAAAGACAAAAGGGAAGAAATAGGGAAGGATGGAAGGAGAAAGGGAGGGGAGGGAAGTAGGGAGAGGATAGAGGGAAGGAAAGACGAGGGAAGGATGCAAGGGTGGAAGGAAAGGAGGAAGGAAGGAAGGAAGGAAGGGCAAAAGGGTGGAAGGGAAGGAGAAAGAGGGAGGGAAGAAGGAAAGCGAAGGAAGGAAGATAGGATTGGTGAGGAGGGCCTGAGAAAAGAGCCCAAGGGACTGCATCCAGCCTCCAAGCCTGGGTTTGCCCATACCTGGTGTAGACAGTATGCCTCTCTCCCCATTCTCCTCCCTCTTGGTGCACCAACAATGCATAAGTACACAACACACAAAAGCACGTTAGCCCTGAGGCAGTGAATAGAGAGCAGTGCCTGTATGAAGCACCTTGAAAAGGTGAACTTTTTAGAGCATCTCATGCCGAGATCAGCTTTCCCCCAAAGGTACAGCAATCCTCTAAACCACCAGCCAGACCTGGCAATCTGAACCGTTCCACCATTTTGCTTCATATTGCCAGTTTGAAACCCATCCAAGCAGACATGACTCACCATTCAACAATGCATTCAATGGTTTGACTCTTGAGAGAAAAGTATATAGTATTTTAAGGCAGACCAGAAAAAGCTAAAAGACAGCATCTCTGGAGGATATTCCTTCTTACAAAACATCTTCAAATCCTTGCCCCTGAAAGCAGGATTTGTCCTTTGGGCAACTTCAGCTTTGCATTGGCTCGGCATAAGCCTTGGCCAAACCTCTGTTGCAATGCAAGGAAATCATGCCACAAAACCTTTGAGAGCATTTTTTTATTCAGCGTAGCAGAATGGAATTGCAAGAAAGCCTATACCAGTACAAGAAAGGCAGTGTAGCCTTGAGGAGATCTCAAAACTACACAGTTAGGATTCAGCTTCATTTCGGGAACCAGATGGGGGAGGGAACCAAAGTGTGAACGCCTGAGTTGGAAACGCTTCACTATTTGGCATCCACGCATGCCTCAGTTACGCAAAAGGGACACCTGGGCCACGGCCTCCCCACAAGCCGCACCTCTTCTGTGCCAAATGGAAGAGGCCTTGGACTTGCCAGCTTCTGCTGCCCTTATGGAGTTGCTTTGTGAGTGCAAGTAACTCCAAGGCCTGTTCAAAATCTCTACCAAAAGCTGGAAAGGTAGCTGGAAGGATGTCTCAGCTACGGAGGCTCACCTCTTTGAAGCACCCTACTGTTTGAGATTTGTTTTACATTGCTTCAACTTTTCTCTTCACCTTGGCTATTTGCATGCCTTGTCTTCAACTGAAAAAAACCTCACTTTTTGGTGATTGGCAAAAAGCAGAAGTCTCGAGGAGCAAAGGTGAAGAAGGTAAGTACCCTGAAACAAAAGAAGCTTTAGCATATGGAGCTGTCAGGTCAAACATTTCGGATTTTCTTAGGTGCAATTTAAATGTCCCAGGTATCAGGCTGCTTGCTGATACAGATATGGCCTAAGAGAAGCACGGCCAGGGAAGCTTCAAAAGTGCGCACTACCAGGACTACAAAATTTACTTTTTGCGCTGGGTTTATGTAAAACATTTTCTGCACAAACCCAGTGTTCTGAGGTGTTACCATTGTTTGAACACACACACATATATAATGTTTTGGTACCTAATGGTGAAAGATTAAATGCTTCCCTCCGCCTCGGCTCTTCCGTTCCTTTTTCAGAGAGCACCAGTTCACATATAGGCAGTTTGACCTGAGAGGTTTACACTTGAAAAGAGAGATATAGAAGATCTATTTTGCCCCATCAAAGTTACAATAGTGAGGCATGGGTCGGGAGCGGCATATGCGATGAGGGCAGCGACAAAGGCAACCAACAGGTGGAAAACAAATAGGGTTTGTTCGGAACCAGGTTTGGGATTTACATACACGTCAGCGTGACAGATAAAATTTGGCATTTTTCGTTTATTTTTGAATCTGCGTAGCGTGAATGAAACAAAGTCAATACCAACTTTCTGCAAATGAGGACACAAAAAAGTGGAAATTTTGGTAATAGACAGTGCTGGTCACCAAGCCTGAACACACACACTTAGGAAATGCAAGTGTCCGTTACGTAAAGGTAGTTTTTTTTAAATTTTACTCATCTACCAAAGAATATTTCCCCCCCTAAGAACACTTAAAACAGATGCTTCATACCCCCAAAAGAAAGAAGTTTGTGGGTTGGTTTTGTTTTCTACTTATCAAGAGAGGTACTTGGCTGTCAATCCTTATCAAAATCAAAAGCTGGCATAGGGCAGGAGGGAGAGAGAGGAGGTACAAACATTAAAAGCCTGGACATTAACACTTCGGCCCTGACATATATGAGCCCCATAACGTGGCAAAGGCAACGACTGGTTCCAGATTCCTGGCAGTCATTCACCAAAGTGGGGAGGGACTTACAGATGCCAAACAGAATGATATGTACGTCTTGCTCTCTTTGGATTTCATGAGGATGGGGCCAAATGCTTGCTTAAACCTGACATTTAAAACATGGGTCTTGGTCACGTGGCCCAGACGTTTGAATGGCGTCCTAAGCCCAAAACATTAATCCTAAAATGCAAAGGGGATTCCGTTCTGAATGAGAAGAATGTCACTTGAATTTAGCAGGATGGCATTTTTTTAAAAAAAAGCTCTGTTAGCTTGTATCATTCTAGAATGCTGCATTTACTCCTGGAATCTTATGAACAGTGGTAGCGGATATGTCCAACTACTGGCCACTTATTGCTTAATGGAAGTCCCTCATGATTTCGACAACAATCACGCAAGCTGTTATTAGGGGAACATTGGTTTTCCATTCCACAGGAGACAAGTCATAGGTTAGATCAGTGTCGCCAGATGATTACAAATTTGCTTTTCCAAATTTTCAAGAAATACTCCTTCTGCAATGCCCCTCTTCGAAGGGTGGAGGAATTGGTGAGGGGACAACAACCATGTCCTCATTTTGGTACCTCTTGGTCCCTAATCTGAATTTTCTCCCCAAACTGCTTTGCAACGCTATTCTGAATCATTATTCTAGGTACTCTGCATAGATACTAAGAATACAACTGAATTTTTTTTTTAAAAAATCACATCCCAATATTACTTTGTTACAGAACGTCAGGTGTCAAAAATTCCCCCGAAGCAAGGCCTAATCCATATCACAATTCAATCAAGCACACAAAGCTTGGAGTTCCCTGTTTAATAAACATAATTATAGTAACATCAGAAAAAATGCTCAAGTGTATGGAGTCAATGCGGTGTATTTACGTGACAAGACGAAGTTAAGAGAAACTTGAGATCAAGTTTTGCAAAGAGCAATGCAATGGTGAAGAGGGAAAGGAGGGGAAATGCCAAATATTCAACTCCTTCTCCTTTTCTTTTTCCAAACCGGGACAATATAATTTTGCTAAGACATAAGTGTGTGAGTCTGTGGGGAAGGGAGGAGAGGAGAAAAACAAATTGCATGGGAAGGAGGGATTGCAGAGGAAAATCAGAAATAACAGCCACAACCTTTTGAACTTTTAAGGGCAGATTAAGTCTAAGATATTTTCGATAAATTCTGACAAGAAAAAAAAAAGGAAACAGCATCCTTGAAAGTATATTGAAGCAGTGATTTTAAACAAAGAAAGCAGAACTAGAACATCTTAATTTTAATCCATTGTTTACAGGTTACCTAGACCACTTTTGATTAAGAAACTGTAGAAAGTTAGTAACAGCCACAAGTGGACACCGAAAGGTGGCACTTGCCAATTTTCCAGAGAGTCCTGCTTTTGTGGTGTGTCTGAAATGCACTGCTCCAGGTCTTCTCAACACACATTGCTGACATCAACTCTGTCAGATTTTTGATTTTGATTTTTTTTGTTTTGTTTTTAGTCCACTGGTCGCTTCTCACCATATTTCTTTGTAAACTCTTCCGCGTTCTTACAGAATTTTTTACGGTCCTTAGAGTATTCTTCAGCTAGGTCGGCCCGGAGTGGGTGCTCGGGCTGGGGGTCGTTCACCAGTGCTATGAGGGACTGGATTACTGTTGCGGAGGGGGGGAAAGAAAGCGAGAAAGAGGTCAGTATGTGGGGGGGGGGGGGCACAAAGTCCTTGAGATGGGCCTGCACTCTTTGAAGGCAATGCTGGCTGAGTGCAAGCTGGGGCAAGTCCTGCTAAGCTGGAAAAGGCTTTCAATACAGCCCCGGGCATCTGCCATCCAAGGATTGACCTGGCTATATAGAGAGCAGTGAACTGGTCACACAAGAACTGCAAAGAGAAGGAGACCTGGCCTGAAATCTGTGTCAGTGGTCTGGTCTGCAGAGGTATTAAAGGCAAGTATACGTGTGTCTTGGCAGACCACAAAACCTGCGATCCTGACCACATTTGTTTAATCTAGGCATTCATACGTTTAAAGCTGCTACCAAGCCATACAAACTAGTGAGTACTTCACTTCAAAGTTGTAGTTCTAAATGCCCTAAAAATGAGTCACTTCAAGTTTGGACCTCAGCAATGCGCTATATGTTGGGCTACTTTGGTTCCAAGTTTGGAAACACCAATTAGTTCAAACCGCAGAAGCCAGACTGGTTTCAGATATACCCAGGAGTGAGCATATTAAGCCGATACTAAAGTCACTCTACTGGTTGCCAACTAGTTTTCGGGCAAAGTACAAAGTGTTGGTTTTGACCTTTAAAGCCCTACATAGTTTGTGTCCAGGTTGCCTACAGGATAGCCTTCTCCTGTATAATTTGCCCTTAAGACTCTGCAGAACATTTATTTTTAAAAACCAGAGCCCAACTAGCAACGGTCATACAAGAGGGCCTTTGCAGTGGTTGACAGCTAAACATGTTATTTGAATTTAAAACAGACCTATCTCTTCCAGAAGACCTATTCAGTCAATTTTCACGTATGAATTTTAAATTACCATTTTATACTTATGAATAATTTTAATGTGTGCTTTATTTTTTATTTATAGGTAATCACCAATAAAGCCCTATATGCTTCAGGTCCAACCTATCTTCGAGGCTGCATCTCTTTCTATGAACCAGCGCAGGGTCTAAGATAGACAGAGGAGGCCCTTCTCTCAGTCTCCACCGTCTCAAGCACAGTTGATGGGGACGAGAGAGGGCCTTCTCGGTAGTTGCCCCCAGGCTCTGGAATACCCTCCCAAAAGAGATTAGATTAGCCCCCACCCTTAAATGCTTCTGTTTCAACCTAAGAACATGGATGTTCAAACAGGCTTTTGACCTCGAGTAGACTGAATGGACCCATATGAAGTTGACACAGTTTATCTACTGTTGTTTTTAAAATTGTATTATTTTGATTTTATGCTATATGTGTTGTCAAGGGTTGTTATAATTTGATGTGACTTGTTTTATACTGATGCACTGTTTTTACCTATTATATGTTGCATATGCACCTTGGAGTGCCTTTGTAAGTCCCTTCAGGGGGATGGTGATGGGATATAATAATAATAATAATAATAATAATAATAATAATAATAATAATAATAATGTCTATGTGTTTTTAATCTATGGATTTGAAAGGTTTTACCTTTTTAGTATTGTATTTTGGCTTCATGTTGTACCCTGATTTAGGGAGAGGTGGGTATGAAAATGTATTATTATTATTATTATTATTATTATTATTATTATTACTATTATTATTTGAAACACAACAAGATTAGTACACAGCAAACAAGATCACTATGCTGGTTGTTGTACTGGATCACACGTCGGACACTTCCTAAGTGTCTAGGACTATGTGATGTATCAGCGAATAATGTATGCAGATCCCAGTAGAGTGGCCTTTTGCAGCTGACAAATGATAATTTTGTCAGCACCAATTGTATTATTATTATTAGTAGTAGTAGTATTTCGTGTGGAAGAGCATGAAAAGGAGAAGACTTTAGCTTAAAAACCTCACTGAGTTTGAGTTGCCTTCTGCATCCTGATTGCCCTTCACAGGGCTACTGTATGTTTGCAGTGGAGAAGAGGAGGAGTACAGTGAAATAAGTACACAAGCTGTTTAGCCTCAAGTGGAGCTCACAATGATTTCGAGATGGGCCTACAACCTGCTGGTTCCTGAATTTGTATAAAAGAACAGCATGCACAGGAAGTCTTCTGTTACTGCAATGAAGGAGGAAGTCCTTATAAAGACTTTTGTGAGTGTGCTCTCAGTCATGGAAACCACCTGAGTAGTCTTGGGCAAGTTGCATTCTCCTTTTCCTCAGAAGGAAAGCAATAGCATTAAACCTTGGCTCCAAACCCTTATCGCAAGCTTGGCTTGAAGACGTGCTGATAACAAATTATTACTAAAATCCGGGAAATACATGATCCTAAGCCCAGAGGTAGCTAGCATTTCAATGAGACCAAGGTAAATGATATGGTAAACCTAACCTAAGAAACGTGGCTTTCTGCACGACACCTGTTTGTAATGGATGACTTTGATACTATACAAATCAGCTTCAACTGAGTCTGATAAAGACATTCTGATATGGCCCAAAAGCTATTATAACCAGCCCAAAAGCTATTATTTCCTGGCTACCTTGGGTAGGGAAGTATAAAAGAAAAGCAGCAGTTTTGATAACCTCCTTCATCCAAAGATATTCAATTCCTTGCTCTTCTCACTCTAAGCTGTCCAGTAGGAAGAGGTTTAAAGACAATCAAGCCGTTTACACCCAGAGTTAGTTTGGAAGAAACTGGGGTGTGGGGGCTTACCTTGATCAGTTTTGGTGGCTGGCTTCCAGTTTTCAGCACTTATTACCGGCAGACAAACCTGCCCCTTTTCATCGATGTTCGGGTGATAGATCTTTGTTTTAAACGTAATCTTAGGAGGTTTGAATGGGTACTCTGCCGGGAAGTTGATTTCGATTCTGAAGGCCCCCTTGTCATATGGAGGGTTGTCCTGCAATGGAAAGGAAAGGCAACACGAATGGGCCAAGAGCAGATACCTTAGGTAGTATTTAGGCATAATAAACAGAGGAATCTAGGGGGTTACGACTTCACTGGAATCTCAGAACTGACCATAGCAGATCAGGATACAGGAGAGTGGGCATAAACTTAAGACAGGGAAAAGGACCAGGGAGTCAGATATCAAAATGCTCAGCTTAGGAATCAGAACACTTCTGATTCCTTGTCCAGTCCTCAACCTTTCCCTTTGAGCAGCCTGATCTATCTTACCTATATCTATCTTCTATATACTTAATAAAAGTGAAAATATGTAAAATGTGTATGTGGCTGGGGCTCCCACTTCCACAAACAGTTTTAATCCACAGTGCTGAGAAGCCACCAGAAGCCCTCCCTCCAATGACGTTGCAGGTTATAGCGAGTGCCCTGAACATGTAGCCCAACCTCAGACAATGTCCTCCCCAAACACCACAATGCCTACCATCATAGGAATGCTTTCATTCGGGGACCATTTCATCCTAGATTACTCTCATCAATGATGTGGAATTTGCATGATCCAGCCCACTGCCTCTTCCTTAACCCTCTCCTACTCTTTTCAACTTTGTCTGCACAAAAATAGAGTAGAACTAATCAGCAACTAAACATACTGGAGGAGTTTGGGAGATTGACTCCACATGATGGAAGTTGTAGTTCACCCTGCATCAAGTCAGAACACTGTGACCCCCACTGACAATGAACCTGGACCACATTCGGCACACAAAACCCCCATGACCAAAGAAAAATACTGGAGAGGTTTGGTGGGAATTCACCTTGATTTATAGCCATTTGTAAGTACTGGGATTTATAGTTCATCTGCAATTGAAGAGCACCCTGGACCCCACCAATGATGGCCCTGGACCAAACTTGGCACACAGAACCCCCATGACCAGCAAAAACTACTGGAGCTCTTTGGAGGATAGTCACCGTGATTTAGGGGAGTTTTACTTCACCTACATCCAGGGAGCACTGTAAACTCAAACACTGATGGATCTGGACAAAGCTTGTCATGCATAACTGATATGCCGAAATCTGATGACTTGAGGGCTTTGGGAGAAACTGACCTTCCTTTCTGGGAGTTGTAGTTCACTCACAACCAGAAAAATTGTGACCTCCACCAATGATGGACCTGGAGCACACTTGGCACACAGAACCCCCATGATTAACTCAACCTATTGGAGGGGTTTGAGGGGACTGACTCATCATAGTGGGAGTTGTAGTTTACCATGGAGCCAGAGAGCACACCCAACCCTACCAATGATGCATCTAGAGCAAACTTGCCCAACTTGATGGAGTTTCTCGGGGTTAACCTGGCATGATGTGAGTTGTAGTTCACCCACAACCTTATAATTATGTAAAATTAAAAAATTGACTTTTTCAAATAACCCAGGCAATGCCGGGAACCCATCCTAGTTTACAATAAAAGCCCTTTTGCTGTTGTTCAATAACTTGATCTACTGCAACTTGTTGTTCAATAACTTGATCTACTGAGACTTATTTTGCATAGAATTATGGAAAATATAGACCCCTGTCTGATCCCACAGCAAGCTGGCTTCAGAAAAGGCAAAAGCTGCACATCGCAAGTGCTGAACCTGACTCAGCACATAGAAGATGGCTTTGAAAGGCAGCAGATCACAGGAGCTGTCTTCATAGACTTGTCAGCAGCCTATGATACTGTGAACCACTGCCTCCTCCTGAGAAAAATGTATAATATCACAAAGGACTACCACCTCATCCGCCTCATAGGAAACCTGCTACAAAACAGGAGCTTTTTTGTTGAGTTCCAGGGCCAGAGAAGCAGATGGCGGAAACAGAAGAACGGCCTGCTTCAGGGGAGCGTGCTTGCTCCATCCATGTTCAACATCTACACAAATGACCAGCCACTGCCAGAAGGGACAGAGAGTTTCATCTATGCTGATGATCGTGCCATTACTGCTCAAGCAGGGAGCTTTGAGATGGTTGAAAAGAAGCTCTCCGAAGCTCTAGGTGCTCTTACTGCCTATTACAGGAAAAACCAACTGATCCCTAATCCATCTAAAACACAGACATGTGCCTTTCACCTTAAGAACAGACAAGCATCCCGAGCTCTGAGGATTACCTGGGAAGGAATCCCACTGGAGCATTGCAACACACCCAAATACCTGGGAGTCACTTTGGAGCGTGCTCTGACCTACAAGAAGCACTGCCTGAACATCAAACAAAAAGTGGGCGCTAGAAACAACATCATACGAAAGCTGACTGGCACAACCTGGGGATCACAACCAGACACAGTGAAGACATCTGCCCTTGCGCTATGCTACTCTGCTGCTGAGTATGCATGCCCAGTGTGGAACACATCTCACCACACTAAAACAGTGGATGTGGCTCTTAATGAGACATGCCGCATTATCACAGGGTGTCTGCGCCCTACACCACTGGAGAAATTACACTGCTTAGCCGGTATTGCACCACCTGACATCCGCCGGGAAGTAGCAGCCAATAGTGAAAGGACCAAGGCAGAGACATCTCCAGCTCATCCCCTGTTTTGGTATCAGCCAGCACGTCAACGACTTAAATCAAGACATAGTTTTCTTAGATCTACAGAGACACTCGCTGGAACACCCCAGCAAGCGAGAGTCCAAAAGTGGCACGCCCAAACCCAGCACCTCAATCCATGGGTGATACCAGATGAGAGACTCCCCCCTGGGCACAGAAGACTGGGCGACTTGGAAGGCGCTGAACAGACTGCGCTCTGGCACCACGAGATGCAGAGCCAATCTTAAGAAATGGGGCTACAGGGTGGAATCCTCGGCATGCGAGTGCAGAGAAGAACAAACCACTGACCACCTGCTGCAATGCACCCTGAGCCCTGCCACATGCACAATGGAGGACCTTCTTGCGGCAACACCAGAGGCACTCCAAGTGGCCAGATACTGGTCAAAGGACATTTAACCAACTACCAAGTGTGTTTTGGTTTCTTTTTTTTCTTTTTAATCTGTGTGTTTGTTTTGTTCTGTTAGAATTGTAACACAATGGTATGGTTGCTGATGACACGATAAATAAATAAATAAATAAATAAATAAATAAATAAATAAATAAATACTGCAACTTGCCAATACAATACAATTATAACCTAAAACTATACAAACATGAAAATGGACTTAAATATTAACAGCACAAAAATAAACAGTTTAAACCCTTAAAACCAATTCAAAACACATTCATAGTGAAAACCACAGTACCCCTTGACTAGATCTTAAAGCTTCCTTCTGCAGACAGCAATCTTGTGGGACAAGTGTTTGGGGGGTGGAACAGGTAACTCCAACCCAATATAATTAAGCAAAAGCATGTGGCATTTCCACAGATCACAATTTTAAACACAAACACTATAGAAATGTTCTTCCACACCAACACATTCATTTGCCCAGCCAGCTTTGCAACTCTGCGTTTCAAAAGAAACATTTATCACCCAGCCCAAGCGCCTGGGGCAAGAGTTCAAAATAGTCGTAAGCCACTTTCACACTCACCGGAACGATAAGCCCTTGCCAAGTCAATAAGTTAGCTTCATCAACTTGGATATTACGGAAATTCTTCATTCCACACTTGCGGATTTCTTCAAGCTCCTGCAAAAGAAGCACACCAGACAGACCACGTTAGCAAAATCCTTCTCAAGAGACACAGAGCCACTTCAGCATACAATCACAGAGTGGCAGCATTCAAAGGGATACAAATGGTCATCGAGTCCAGTGGTTCCCCAAACTGTGTTCCGCAAAACCCTAGGGTTCCCTCAAAAGGATTGTAGGAATTCGGCGGAATATCTTAAAAAGCAAATTTGAAATGAATATTAAAAGAAAATCGCATGAGGTCAACTATTTGATTTACAGCCTCCATCATAGCTATTCTGTGTTACAACTATTGCTGCCAGGTATGTAGTTGCTAGATACATATTTCAATATTTTGCAACAACAGCGATTCCTTTGTGGTCGATTTTTCACACTGAATTCACATTTCTTTTTGATCTTTTTTGGTACAGTTTTTGAGATTAAAGAGATCTGAGATATTCATAAAATATCAAAAGTAAAATTTATTCAATACCTTGGTATTGTATAGGAAACTGGGTAGCACATCTGAATCAGCGTAAAATGATCAAGAATATACAGGAAGTGTGGTTAAGTCGTCCGCCTTGGAGAATTTTAAACAGAGGTTTGATGGCCATCTGTCAGGAGGGCATGGATTGTGTCTTCCTGTCTGGCAAAGGAGTTGGACTGGATGCCCCTTGAAGGTCCCTTCCAGCTCTAGGATTCTATAGCTTCTTCCATACAGCTGAATAAAATCCCACATTTTCTGCTTTGAACTGGAATATATGGCAGTGTAGACGCAGATAAACCCAGTTCAAAGCAGATATTGTGGGATTTTCTGCTTTGATATTCTGGGTTATATGGTTGTGTGGAAGGGCTCTATGATATTTTGACCAAACAAACCAGGGATAAAGTTAGGGTTATGTCTTCTAAAGGGTTCCATAACTGAACAAGTTTGGGAACCCTTGACTTCCTCTATTATTATTATTATTATTATTATTATTATTATTATCTTTATTTGTACCCCGCTAGCATCTCCCGAAGGACTCGATGCGGCTTACAAAGGCCAAGGCCTCAAAAACATAGCATAACAAATAAACAACTTAAAGCAAATCAAAAACAATTAAAGCAATATCAAAAACAACAAAAACAATAAAAACAATACACCAAAACACAATAAAACTGGGACCGGGCCAAATGTAATGGGTACAGATTAAAAGTGCTAATGTGACAGGTGGTATGTCGGATTTTAGGGTAAGTGCAGTGTGTAAGCAATCTTAAAGTCTAATAAAGTGCTTCGGGACAGGTTGTTGGAGTTTTCCTATTCTGGAAAGGCACATCGGAACTTCCTCTACCTTCTGTCAATGCAGAAAACTCAAAATGTTGATATGGGACTGCTCCTCCAAAACACTCCAAGGAAGCATGCCTACGCATACACAGAGTATGCTGGTGAGAAGGGGAGGAGGAGAGAGATTAATACTTTTAAGTGTTCCAAAGTATGGCAGCCCCCAATATTCCAGGATGAATAAAGAAACAGGGACCCAAGAGTTGAGGAAAGGACCTTCAAACCCCAGTAGGTCACAACTGAGACGCAAGAAACAACCTGTTGAGTGTCCTTCCCGCCCTCACATCCACCCCCAGAAATGTATTAGAAAAGCAGCCTTGGAAGAAAACACCAAAGAAATGCAAAAGAATTGGCATCCTTCATCCCTTGTTCAGTAACCAAATCAATGACAAAACTGGCAAATGATCTGTTCTCTGCCAGAGAAATATGGCCAGGAAAACAAAGAGAGGAAATATGAGAGATGGGAAAAGAACAGGCTCTGCTTTCTCCCATGATTGGCAAACAGCCCCATCTCAACCTATTAAAATCTGCGGAATACTGCTCTTGACAGACGGTCGATTCCTTCATTGCTCCAATTTTCCTGTCTGTTTACAATGCACATTACCAAGATGAAGCTGTGGCATCATTTAAGTCAGTGGTTCCCAACCTGTGTTCTATGGACCACCAGTGGTTCGCAAGAACTAAAATATGGTCCACAGCCTCACCATTACTACACCATTCCAACGAGAGTGACTGGTGTCGCAAAAACCTCTTGTAGTGTCAAAGCTTATTTAATATCGTTTTCTGTGTGCGAGCAGATGGTGACTACTGGATGGCATATGTTCTGTATCAGAAACTAGAGCTGATGTGGTCTATCCAATGCTATTTTCTGAATCAGCACCCTAAATAATCAAGTTGATAAAAAACTGATTCGTAACCCTTTTGGTACGAATGTGGGAGACAATGTTGGAGACATTTTCAACTTTGTCTGCACAAAAATAGAGTAGAACTAATCAGCAACTAAACATACTGGAGGAGTTTGGGAGATTGACTCCACATGATGGAAGTTGTAGTTCACCCTGCATCAAGTCAGAACACTGTGACCCCCACTGACAATGYACCTGGACCACATTCGGCACACAYAACCCCCATGACCAAAGAAAAATACTGGAGAGGTTTGGTGGGAATTCACCTTGATTTATAGCCATTTGTAAGTACTGGGATTTATAGTTCARCTGCAATTYAAGAGCACCCTGGACCKCACCAARGATGGCCCTGGACCAAACTTGGCACACAGAACCCCCATGACCAGCAAAAACTACTGGAGCTCTTTGGAGGATAGTCACCGTGATTTAGGGGAGTTGTACTTCACCTACATCTAGGGAGCACTGTAAACTCAAACACTGATGGATCTGGACAAAGCTTGTCATGCATAACTGATATGCCGAAATCTGATGACTTGAGGGCCCTGGTCAAAAAAAGAGTGGTCCCTAGTAAAAAAAAATGGGAACCACTGATTTAAGAGGACCAATGTGTTTGTTTTGGAAGAGTCCTATACAAACTCAGCCATGGCAGGTCACTGCAATATCCAAAGCAAATTGGTACACCATTTCTTGCTTGTTTATAGGTAATTTAAGACAAACAGGCAACCTGTTTTAGTGTTTCTCCAATGATTACAAGGAGTACATACTGAAATTATTATATGGAGTACATACTGAAAGGCAGAGAAGGCAAAAAGCAGTGTTCAACTCCAGTCAATAATATATAAGTAGATGTAAAAGATGCACATATTTTAAAGGCACAGCATCCAAATTAGAAACAAAGGGCACAAACACTACTGAAACAGATTCTCAAGCTCCATGGTAGCTAATCTTAAACTATGCATCCTACAAAGACATTTCACATCAGCAAAATAGTAATTCTACACATTGAGGACCTTGACAGACAGATTTTAAAGAAGAATGTATGTGTCACCAATGCAAGCTCTGTTGATATATGCTTGCCAAGAAAATCTCTTTTGTCAAGTGCTTGACTGGCCTCTCAAGCAGTGCCTGCCTCACAGTATGAGAATATCTGAACTACAAGATGCAACTGGAATTGCCTGATATTAAGTCAGACCAATGGTCCATCAAGCCAATCCCCTGCCCCTTTAAATTAACAGCACAAGTAATAAGAAGAGTAACTATACTTTCAGCCAAGAGGGAAAGGACACAACATTAGAGGCTGTGATTGGTTACAAACTGAGATGGCAGAATCATGCAAGCTACCTTTCTTACTTGAATCTAATGCACACCTTTTTTGGCTAAATTCCCTTGCCAAAATTAAGGTGCACATTCAATTTGTGTCATAGTCATCTTAGTGCTGAGCCAAAGCAAAAGAGGAAGCTGCTTTACGAGCCCCTGGAGCTCTTCATCTCTAATGTAATGGCCATTACTCAATGCTATGCAATCCTGGGATTTGTAGTCCAGTAAGGCATCAGTACTCTTTGGCACAGAAGACTCAAGACCTTGTAGAACGACAGCCCCCATGATCCAATAGCACTGAACCAAGGAAGATAAAGTGGAGCCATTCTACAGCATAGATGCATCCCAGGTTTTCATTTTCATTGCTGGAAGCTTTGGTGTTCTAACCTTTTTTTTTGTAAAGATGGCAGCAACTGTAATGCACACTTTTTTCCCAGCTAAATCACAAAGAGTTCACTTTTGGTCACTATGCATAGCATTTGACAGCAAATCCTTTTTATGGTTTGGCATTAGATTCAATGGTGCATTAGACTCAAGTAAATATGGTATACAGGCAGTTTCCAAGTTACAAACAATCTAAGTTCTATAGGTTTGTTTTTGTTGAATATGTATGCAAGTCGGAACAGGTACATTTTTAAGTTTAACTACAGCCAGAGTGTTTGGGATAGCATAGGGAAGGGCTAACAACCTTGTGGTGTTTTGCTCTCTATGTCCCTGTTTAGAAGATTTCATCTCACTTTCTGTCCCTGTGAGAATTAGATTTTGAAAAATTTGGCTTGTTGTGGAAACAAGGATTAGGGATAAAGCTTCAGTAGAGATCCTTTTTCCCCATAATAACAACTCTTTTGGGAGTGGATTTTTACTTCTGAGGGGCAGATTTCCCTCACTTCCTGTTGACTCACCCCCGTTCTTTAAAATAAGTTGTTTATAAATTGGTTGTTTGTAACTTGGGAACTGCCTGTACTGGCACTCAAGGGGGCCACAAGCAGAGCAAACAGGAAGAGATTCTGACATGATGGGAGAGCTCAGAAGAACATGCTGAAATCCAGACATAATGCTGCTCCTTATAAAGGGATTCTGGCAGGTGAGGGAAATCAGCCGCACCAGAACTGCAACACAAAGCAGTTTAAAGCAAACCCTTACTCATTGAAACCAGTGGATTTTTTTTTCCTTTCGGAGGTAAACTGCAGGGTTGGCAGCCTGGCACTTGCAGAATACAAACCTGTTTTTGTTTAACTTGATTTTGAGTTTCAATTTGCAGACTTACAGGGAAACAGCAACAGGCTAGGGGTATTATCCTTTCTCTGGATAGCTGGTTTCACAATGTGTTCTCAATAGCTGCTAGTTTCAAACCCAAAGCTACATTTATTCCTGCTCAGTAACCATCCTGACAGGAGCTCTACTACTGTTACAATCCTCAGCAGGGGCAATATGTTCTTCTGGAATGATCACGTTTCAAATCTGAAAGGAGCAGGTAG